AGAATAGAATAGAATAGAATAGAATTCTTTATTGGCCAAGTGTGATTGGACACACAAGGAATTTGTCTTGGTGCAAATGCTCTCAGTGGACATAAAAGAAAAGATACATTAGTCCAGAGTCAAGAATCATCAGGTACAACACTTAATGATAGTCATAGGGTACAAATAAGCAATCAAATCATACTAGGAAACAGTCAGTATAAATCGTAAGGATACAAGCAACAAAGTTTCAGACATATGGTCACAAGTGGGAGGGGATGTGTGATAAGGAGTGATGAGAAGATTTAACAGTAATAGTAGTGCAGCCTTTGTAAATAGTTGGACAGTGTTGAGGGAATTATTTCTTTAGCAGAGCGATGCTCTATAGCTCCTTTTGAGGGAAGGAGTTGAAACAGTTCATGTCCAGGATGTGAGGGATCTGTAGATATTTTCACAGCCCTCTTTTGGACTCGTGGAGGATACATGAGTCAAAACATGAGATCTGGCACCTGTGGTTTCACTCCCTACCTGTCCAGGATGGGGAAAGTCTTCCCCAGAGGTGACAGGAAGTTGGGGCCAAGTGAGTATCAACACATCCTTGACAGAGAAACAGAGGCTGCCACCCTGACAGTTCAGGGTCTCCTCCTCTGAGGTGAGAGTCGGGGGGCTCGTTTGCCACCATGCTCCTCCTACCTAAATGGGCTGTTGCAGTTAGCGATGGTCGGGAGAAAGACGGCTTCTTTTGGGATGCTCCAGAGCTTTACACTCTCTCCATCTTTGTTTAACCTCTGTAACCGTGAGGCTTACCGGGGGCAAGGGATCAGATCAGGTATATGTAGACAGAATCAAGATCCTATAAAGTGTTTGTACCACTTTATAAGGCCTTGGTACAGCCACACCGGGAATCCTGCATCCAGTTTTGGTCGCCATGATGTAAAAAAAGATGTTGAGACTCTTGGAAAGGATGCAGAGAAGAGCAACAAGGACGATCAGGGGGCTGGAGGCTAAAACGTACGAAGTATTGTTGCAGGAATTGGGCCTATGTCTAGTTTAAGGAAGGAAGGAAGGAAGGAAGGAAGGAAGGAAGGAAGGAAGGAAGGAAGGAAGGAAGGGAGGAGGAGGAGGAAGGAAGGAGAAGGGAGGAAGGAAGGAAAGGAAGGAGGGAGGAGGTGGAAGGGAGAGAGAAGAAAGGAAGGAAGCAGGATGGATGGAAGGAAGGAGAAGGGAGGGAAGGGAGGAAGGGTGGAAGGGAGAAAAGAAAGGAAGGAGGGAGAAGGAAGGAGGAGGGAGG